TGTTAAGGGATTTAATTTAAGCTACCATAATAAGGAAACCATATTATTTACTATAGATCCCTATTATGGTAACTTAAATTAAATCCCTTAACAAGAACCCAGTTTATGGGTGTTTCAGACAGTGCTCCGGTATGAAGCAGTGGTATTGAGATCCGTATTGCCGAATTTGTAGGTGGTCTAAGAAAGCCCGAGGCCATAAACCCAAACCCAAAGCCTTAAATCCTAAACTCTGAATGCTCCAACGTTTCGGACACCCTCGCATGGACCTCATGCCAGGAGCCTGTGGGATGGCTTCCTGAAGGTCATCCGCCACTAGTCTGAACAAGTAGGTAGTTGTCAGAATTATGGTCCCTTTTGGGGTACCCTAAATAGTAGGTGCCGTATTAGAATAAGAACCCAAAAAGGGACCATAATTTTGACAACCACCCAAGTGAACCCTTTTAAACACAAGCAGGCATATGCTCGGCATGTTATGCTTGCTTCTTCAGCCCTTTAATGCGGCATGTATACAGGTTCCTTAAATCCAACCACCGTACCCCGAGAACCCAATACCCCTTAATTAAGGCATATGCCTTAATTCATGGTATATAAAGGACCCTATAGTTTCGGGATGGGTTCTCCGGCATAATCGGCGTACAGTGTAAGAACCTGCGAACCATGAAATCAGCGCACCCTCCAGGGCTTCGGCGCCACGCACTTGAGCTTTTGCTTCAGGCGTAGGGTGGATTCTTCCTGGGTTCTTGTTACTTAGGGTTTAGGGTTTAGGGGTTTAGGGTTCAGGGTTTAAGGTATAGGGTTTAGGGTTTAGGGAATTCAAGTTGTCATAACATGGAACGTATACCCATGTTAGATAATACAGATCCCTATTTCTGTGCTTTAGATTAATATAGGGGCCTGAATAATTAGCTATGCTATTCTGGGGGTTCCTTATTATAAAGAGAATATACCCCAAAGCCCTATTCTAACTATTGAGGCCCCTACATGAGCTCCAATCCCGTTTTCGGATGCTGCCGATCTAACCTGAACCCTAAACCCTAAACCCTAAACCCTACAAAACCCTAAACCCTAAGGTGCGACGCATGCCAGAAGCAGGCCCGGCACGAGGGTGCGATGGTCCAAAGCTGGGCATTGGGGGCAGATGGGGCAAAGCTTGAGGAGTTGGAACTCCCTAAGCCCTAAGCCCTAAACCCTATAAGCCCTAAGCCCTAAACCCTAACAAGCAGGGCAAGTTTGTGTCGTAGGATTTAGAGGTAAAAGTTGGGCTTCGGGGCTGATGGGGCAAAGCTTGAGGAGTTTTAGGAACTCCCTAAACCCTAAACCCTAAACCCTAAACCCTAAACCCTAAACCCTAAACCCTAAACCCTAAACCCTAAACCCTAAACCCTAGCAAGCATGGCAAAACCCTTAAACCCTAACGAACAAGGCAAGCTTGTGCCTTAGGAGTTAGGGTTTAAAGAGAAGGGCAAGGCGATGCTTGAGCGTGCAGAGTCTCAGCTTCGGGTTTAGGGTTTAGGGTTTAGGGTTTAGGGTTTAGGGTTTAGGGCTTAGGGTATAGGGTTTAGGGTTTAGGGTTTAGGGTTTAGGGTTTAGGGTTTAGAAACCTCAAATCCTAAACCCCAAACCCAAGACTGGGATAAAAGGGCCGAAGGAGCAAGCATAACCTGGGTTCTTGTTAAGAGATTTGGTTTGAGTTACCATAATAGGGGTCTATAGGTGATATTTTGGTTTCTTTATTACGGTAACTTAAAATAAATCCCTTGAAAAGACCCCAGTAGATCCAGCAAACCCTAAACCCAAACACCCAAACCCTAGAGCCTGAAGAGCCACGCCAGTGGAAAAGGCCCCAAGCAAAGAACCCTAAACCCTAAACCGAGCTTAAACCTAAAACCTGAAGCTCTACATCTCTGGGGCAAGCCCTGGCCCTAAACCCGGCTCCAAAAAAGAGCCCCGCTAAATTCTGGATGGACCCCAAAGCCACCCAACACAACATCTAAACCCCCTAAAATCCTGAATCCTGAACCCTCAACCCTAACCCTGAAGTCAAGCCTAAACCCCCGGAGCCCGGACCGGAATCATGCTGCTTCAGGTCTCTGCTTTTGGCGGAGTCTTCTGCGGCCGCCGCAAAGTCGGCGGTATACCCTTGGCAGGTGGCTTTGGAGAACCCTGTTCTCATGCCCTTACAGTAAAGTATAAAGGATCCTAGCACAAATCATCCTAAACCCATGTTCCAACTTTCTGTGGTTGAGGGTATAAGGGTTACCATGAGGGTTCAGCACCGTAGGCATGGAGGATTGCCGAGCTATTGTAAATCGGATCCTCTGGCAGTGTGGCTGCGAACCGATCACGAGATTGTGATCCCAAAGCCCCAAGCCTAAACCATTCAGCAAAGGGTTTAGGGTTCAGGCATAAACCCAGACGTCCATTCGCCAGGACTCTTGCCCAAACTCTTTCTAGCCAATTTCGGGACCTGGATGAATAAAACTTGTCCTTAGGCTTTTTTTATAAACATGGTAGTAGAGTAAGTCTGATTTCTCAGGCTCCCAAGTTCCGTCTCGCAATGCGGAGATATGTAGTTGAAGCCTGATCATGTGATATATGAATATGCAGATAGAGAACTATCTGATACATGCGTACATACATTATGTATATATATATATATACACACATGCATATGTGTGTATATATACCTGTATACATACATACATACATACATACATACATACATACATACATACATACATACATACATACATACATACATACAGTTATGTATGAGCGGTTGTATGCATGTGTAAACAATGTGCACATAGATGCACAGAGACGTCCATGCATTACTTTCTGGATTCATAGGAAACCCACATGGGGTGTTTAGGGAGCTTCAGTGTAACCCTTCCAATGGCGTCAACGTGTTCAACAACCCTCAGGCCCAATATAGGGGCCTAAATATTACCAATACTATTTTGGTGGTTTCTGATTTTCAGTATAGTATAAAGGGCCCCAAACAACGCCCACTTTCGGTGGTTCGGGCAGGCTGCGGAGCTGCAGTTCGAGCCTCAGCCTTTCGGTGAGGCTTCCGGCCTAAATTTCAGAGTCCCCCTATAGGACCCGGAACGGATCGGTTCAGGATGACATGGGGGCCTTATTCAATTAATAATTACCTATATATTCCTTATTATGATTGTAGTATAATATACCCCAAAACCCTATTCTAATTATTCAGGCCCCTACATTGGTGGGGTTTCGGGCTTGGGGAACCCTGGAAGCCGGCTTCACGCAGGTCTGCTGGAGGTGTATGAATCGGTCCTCCAAAGATGCGTCCTTCGGCAAGGTGCGGGCACCTCTGCACCAGCTGTCTGCATTTGTGTATGCACGATAGTCTATTATAGTAAATGATCGTATCTTATACTATTACGCTTCCTTCTGGTTCTGGCAGTCTGCACACCACCTGTCTGCGCTTATGAGGATAGGTCTATCAATGCTGGGAACCATCGATTCTTGTACTACACAAGTTATCTAAGCTCAACCTAGCATCGGCATACCAAGCAAAGGGCGAAACCAAGCCGCCCCAAGTCAACGTGCGAGCAGCCTCTGACGTGAGGCTGGGATAAGAATGGTGAAAGCGGTTCGCCGTGGGATGGGGCAGTGGTGGGAATTGCAGGTGCGAGACATGACACCTGGGATTTCTTGGCGAGGGGTCAAATCTGAAGGAGAAAACAAAAGCATTGAACAAAGCATGGAGGTCAACTTTTGAGCACCTGGCAGTACATGGCAAGTATTCGTGTCTTGCGTGTTGGGCTTCCAGGAATGACCCGGTTTGTTGACGAGTGTGCCTTGCGTCGCATACACAATTTGGCAGGGGCCGAGACAGCGAAAGAGAGAGAGAGAGACAGATAATATAGGGTCTAATATACCCCAAAACCCTATTCTTATTATTATTATTGCTATTATTATTACTATTACTAAGGCCCCTACATTACGGAGACAGACAACGAAAGAAAGAGAAGTTCCCGTCCTGGATGCTCGGAGCTTCAACCCAGAGCCCTTAGACTTCAAGAGCCTTTAAGCCTAGACTTCCTCTAGGGGCCTCAAATTAGAACACGACTTTGGGCTGCCTTATAGCCAAGACTTCCTCTAGGATCCCCAAACTGGGTTTAGGGGTTTAGGGTTTAGGGTTCTGGGGTTTAGGGTTTAGGGGTTTAGGGTTCTGGGGTTTGGGGTTTAGGGTTTAGGGTTCTGGGGTTTGGGGTTTAGGGTTTAGGGTTTAGGTTAATGTAGGGGCCT